TTTTTGGGTTCTCAATTGTGAAAAGTTTTTTCCACTGGAAAAAATGCGCATGCAATCTCCCTTTACTTAGCTCCTGAGAAGGAAGCCATGGAAGCTGAGGAAGAAGCTGAGAGCTTGGGGCTTCTCTTGAGTTGAAGTTCTGAGGCTGCAAAGCAAAAGGATTGTTGAGAACAATTACAAAGCACCTGAGAAAGGAAGCTGAATACTACAATCAATTACAAAAGGAATCCTCACAGGAATCCAGAATTGTTTTGGTGGTAGTTTATTATAGAGGAACCCCTAATTGTTTGAGGGGGGGGGGGCCCCCCCTTTACTAATCAGGATCGAACATTATAGTACCCAAACACTCCATGGGACTGCCATAGGACTGCCGATCAATGGGGTGGTTGACTGGAGGTCAATGGGGCGGCATATATGGCAGTCCCATGGAGTGTCCAGGGCACATTCTATTTCAATAAACACCTCAATTTCGCTGCAACCCGGCACATTTGTTGCCACATCTGTCCTTGGCGGCCACATTTTTTGAGCCGCTCTTGCACCCCCTTACTCCAGATCCCGGATCCCTGGTGGCGCAAATATGACCTACAGCCACCCAAAAGCACCACATGTAGGCCCCCAAAAACGCCGCCATGCATCGTCTGGGCATGAGATTTGATTCTTTCATTGGACCTCAACACTCACACCGGCTGATATGCAGCTTCTTCGAATGCTTCTTTCCTGCCTTGCACTTAAGGCATTCCCCCGCGTTTGTTTTCCTGGTAGGCCTTAAGATGGCTTTCTCCAAGTCTTCTTTGGGAATCACGGGCGTGCGCACCGCCGAGGCCACTTCGCTGGAGCTCTCCATCAGCTCGTTGGAGACATTCGCTCCGCTCTCTTTGGATTGGCCTTTGGGTAAGCGCCGGGGCCACGAGCCCTTGGGTTCCTGACGCCGTCCGAAACGGGCGGACACCGGACCCGGGTGTAGGGGGTCGGGGAAGAACGTTTTTCGTGTCCCTGTTCCGAACACGCATCTAAGAGGTGTCCGAGAACTTCATGCTAGACGGTACCATTCATCCACCCAAATTGGCTTAGTTAACGCGTCGAATCAATCAGAAATAACACGTCCTATAGTAACACGTCCTTAGTAACACGTCTTTCTAGATGGTTTCCTTGAAACTAATCATCAGTCTGCATGACCATTTCGACAATCCCGCCGAGGCGCCGTGGACCTGCCAGGGCCCAACTTGACCATCTCTGAGATGAACTGGAGCTCCCCTGGTGGCCGAAACCCGGAACCCGCTCCGAGTCTGGCGTGGTTTGCGGCACAGGGCAGCCGGAACCGCAGCCGGCGTTCGACCCCCAAATCCCGCCTAGAAGCTCCTGACGCACGGCTTGCTGCTCTTCGGCCAGTGCTTGGATTTGTTGTTTCACAACATCTTCAACGATGTGTTTCAATGCCACGCCTGAACGCGACGGCGAGGGCGACTTCCGACGTCCCACTTCGGACGTACGCGCCAGTTCGGGTTTTCAGAAACTCTATCCCCATGAGTAGTGGATCAGAAACGTGTGTTCTCTGGTTGCCCCCTCAAGGCACATAGCTTGCTGAAGTGCTCGTTCTCCATGGCGGCGCCAGGTCCGGTGAGGTGGAGCTCGAGCTGAGCCGAAAGAGGCCGCCAGATCGTCCGGTCCGTCCGTGGCTGACTTCGGAGCCCAAACGTCCGTGGCCAATATTCGAAGAAACCATTCCAACATGGACTGGTGTACTCAGCCTCACACGTTAGTCTCGATGATCTCGATGCCGATGTCTTCAGAAATCGCTACATGTCGTGGGGCTCCCTGTGGTCCCTCGGGCTCCCTGGCTTGTTGCGGCCCTGTTCTTGTCCCAAAGGCATGGTGGCCTAGGCGCGCTAGGTGGTGAAAGCGACGCGTTTTGGAGCCAAGTGGCGCAGTGGAAAGAAACTGCGCGCAGCTTGGCCGAATATTATCTATAGAGGCGAGGGATGTTGTTCTTGGAGAGGAAGTGGGGCCAAAGTAGTCCAAATGTCTCCAGTCCAGCCTCAACATGAGGACTGCTGGACCATGGCCCTCCAGGAAGCTCCTCTCTACGCATAAAATGAAAGCAGGTGATCACAATTTAGATAGGACCTTCAGGAGAAAACATGACCCATTACAGGGCACTAAAGAAGTCATGAAGCGAAAAAAACGTTGATTTTGCTCCAGCCAAGCTCTGAATCCAAGACCCTTTTCAGTAAAACTATTGACGGGGCAGGGATGGTATGCTAGGAGGCTGATGAGACATCCCCATCCTTGGACTTGTCGCTCAGGAATTGAAACTGCATACAGGGCTTCCTGGCCATGGATTTGCGAATGGTGCATTGCACAAAGTCACCACATAAATTCCCAAGCACATATTAATTAGGTCCTTGAAAGACCTTCAATGCACATCAAAGCAATATTCTAATAAGGGCGGTCTCTAGCCACTGGAACTGCGCAGGGAGAAACCAGCACCAAGTCCATCCAAGTCCTTCTTAGGCTTCCCCACATTTGATTCATCAAGAATCGCACTACCCCCATAGTATAGATGGCACAACTGTCATTCCAATGAATTGATGCTTTGAGAATAAATCACAAACAACGGCTATGCATCACTCTGCTGCCAAAGGATGCGGTTCCGCAATGAATGCCCCATCCGGGTGCCGGTCTCTTGCTTTCTCCCCCACCCGGAGGAGGGTGCTGAAACCGCACTTCACTGCTTGGCCTCCCAACGCGATTCAAGTTCTCCTTCCACTGCTCTGGCTCGGCCTCATAGAGCCTGAGCCGGACAGTCCGGCTGGCACGGCCACGTCGCGGCTCGACGTGTCGCGCGGTGAAGGACGCGAACCGGGTGAAGGAGACCCACATGGAACCTGAAAAACCATGGAGAACAAGCTAGTCTTGTCGAGCAAGCAGGTCTTCGTTTGGAGGTTCATGCCATTCAAATTTCAGGTTCCTTGTGAATCTTCCCGGCTCTTTGCATGTGAACGCCCAACTGGACGAGACGAACGCGGTCTTCGCAGCCGAATCGGAGGTGCCTTCGTTTCACCATCCTTCCGCAGGCGCTGATGCCGATCGACTATCCGAAACTGACCGGATCGAAATAGGTCTGACCAGGCGCCATTAGGCCCTGGGTGTCCAAAACACGTTTTCAAATACATGGTCTTCTAATTAAGCTTAAGGTATTCTGAGCTTCCTTTAAACATCTTTAAAACATGGTGCCCTATCAAATAGTCTCTGT